TGCGAACGCCCTGCAGTCCTTCCAGTCCAAGGCAGAACCAGTGGGCCTTCACCTTTAGAATTTCAAGATTAATTTCTTTCCTTCCGCTCCCGAATGCTCTGCAACCAGCTGCTTATTTGTGTGACCCAGCAACCACTTGCAATTGAAATCAAATCAGCCAGCGCTTTATCTAATATCGAAGCCTATGCACCTATGATGGCTAACGTGATTACGTGCCTGCTAAGTTCGTTGTTGGATATAAGGTAGCTTGAATGTACTAGCATGTAACAGCTCAGTTTTCAACGGAGCAGGTTATAAAGGTTCCATTTCTCGACCATGAGTAGCTGCATCAACAGACCAGCCGTAGGGTCCAAGAAAAGCACTCACCTTGCCAGCCTGGGCCAAATGCATTTAGTAGCTCAAGGTTGTGCACTCAGATAGCTACATGGATATCATCTGATAGGGCTATGTTCCGTCAGCATCCACACTAACACAAAGTAAGATTCTCTAACAGTTGGAAGGATCAGCCTTTCTCCAACTTGTCAGTAGAGCTCTCTTGCAAATCGAATCTGCACTCTTACACGGGAGCCAAGTAAATCCGGGTATACATACAATGATACAGAAAGCAGCGGAAAGAGCCCAAAAGCATCCCTTTGATTGTGATAGTTTCCGAGCTGCCCTAATCCTAATCCCGACTTGTTAAGAGGAGGTCTGATTCGAGGTCGCCGCGTCGATGGCAGAACCGCCGGCCGGGCCTGGGCGGATCTCACTTGCATTAGCCAAAATCGCCCCCCCTGCGCCCTAAAGCCTCACCAGCTCTCGTCAGCTTCTTACGTGCGTAACAGGACGGTCACGTACGGTGCAAGCGCTAGTCTGCCATGCAACGTTGGAATCGAGCAGCGCCGATCATCTATGCGGGCCCGAGGGTGCGACGCGGCCGGCTTACGCGTACGCGTCCAGGTTCGGGGGTTTGCGAAAGGTTATGCGAGGCTCTTCCAACCGTCCGATGACTCTTGATTGCAGCGGTAATACCTGCATCTCGGCCGTTGATTCTCCCGGGAGAGGCTACTTTTCCCGCCAGTTTCTTTGAGTGATGTGGCAGTCATCCTTGAGAATGCCCGAGCTGCTATCTCCACCGACTGGCAGCATCTCATTTCTCCCTTGCGCCTAGTGGTGAGGATTCAGCATCCATTGATCAGATCGCTTGCGGGCGTCGGCGCTGCAGCAAGGGCCAGGAGGGACCGAAGATAAAATCTTACTGTTCCAGAAAGCAAGGCCGCTGCGCATTTGAGGACAATCTCCGTGGCCAGAGAACGGAAGGTCGGATTGGAGGACAGGATATTGAAGGGGCGGTGCATTTGTACGAGCTGTTTGTCAGTCAGCACTTTCTTGCCACTTAAGCCAACATAAGCGGAGTAGGAAAGTGAGAAGTGAGAAAAATGGAGATCAACCAGGAGCAGCGCCTCACCTACAAGCGGCAGTTCATTGACTTCTTGGATGATGAAGTGAGTTATCTCGATGCAGAACATGCTTGTTGGTGCCAGCACCCAAAAACTTTAATTTAGGGCGTCTAAAATTGGTTCTCCAAAATTCTGAGGTGCGAAGCGCCGGAGTTCTTGTCCTGAAAACAAGACTTCACTCAAATGGAAGTACTGACAGGCTCTCTGCTGTTGGTACCTCTTATCCAGCTCTTGCCACCAAAGGCTCAAGGATGCATCTGTCAATCGAGCCACGTAGCTTACCCTGACTTTGCTGCCTTGAAGCTCCCCAGTTTACCTGCTATGAACGGTTTTCTCCTCTAAAAGAGACGACTGTGACTATTCTGCAACTTCACTTGCTTGCAGAGAGCGCAATCGAAGTACAAGGAGAAGATCGACCTTATGATCACCAACAACAGCACTCGGTTGCTGATCGACGTGCATGACCTCCGTAGCCACAACATCGATCTTACCAGGAGGTATGAAGTCAGGCTGGCCTTTAATGAGCTTCAGATTAGCCTTCGCTGACTACCAATCCAGAGAAATGGAGCTGCTTGGAGCCTTCGCAGGCTCCCAAAAGCCAACAGAACTGCACAATGTAGTCCGGCAGTACGTCAGTTGGCATCTGTTCAGGCAATTATCCGTGGGTGTTTCGACAGGGTATACTGCTTATCATCAGCATGATGTCCACAGTCCGCGCTGGCACATTCTCAGGAAGACATTTTCTGCTTGTGACGGCTCGTACGAACACATGACTCGTGAGATCAGCTTCCACATCCGAATATCTCCTGGAAGCTTTTGTTCAAGGAGTCACGACGTTGACAGGTTCGTGGATGAACTTCCCAAGACCAACCCGTGCTGCACTAGAAAGCCTGTCAGAATGTTTTTCAGTCTAGTTTGCTGTGTTTGCAGGCTGCTGCAGCACCCCAGCGACTACATCCAGCCCCTGGAGGAGGCGCTCGCTGACATCATCGACAAGCGCAATTGGGACCCCAAGACGGATGGGAAGCATATCCAAGCAGTGCAAGATGCGGGCGGGTCATGGCATATCGGATTCGAGGGGCCGTTTGGCAGCTATCATGTGACACCGCGCAACTTGCTGAGCAACCTGCTGGGGTCAATGGTCAAGGTGGAGGGCATTGTGACCAAATGTAAGTGTCAAGTGGCGAAAGTTGAAGAGGAGGCAAGAGACGATCTTGTTCCAAGTGTTGTGCTTGTTGTGCAGGCAAACGGCGATGCTTCTTCTAACTTTGAAGCATGAGAGGACATGCAGCTCAGATGATACTTGGCACCTGGACGCTGCTCTGCATTTTAGACTGTGCTACAATGGGGAACTCCAGCGCCCCTCTCGTTTCCCTGCACGGCAGAGACAATCTGAGCACAACTTTCTGCATGAGGCCTTGTGAGTCCCTTGTTCAGCACTCAGACATGGAAAAGTTCAGCGATGAGCAGGCATGGTAGGTGGGTGCAATCAATTGACAGGATATCACAGTCTGCCCACGGCCAGCCGAGAGAGCTACAACGCTTCTGCCTCCTTCTCTCACACTTTGTTTTCCTGCAGGCTCGCTGGTGCGGCCTAAGGTGGTGAAGAGCGCGCACTACTGCCCGGCCACAAAGGACTTTGTGTTCCGCGAGTACCGCGACGTCACCTCCAGCAGCGGGATGCCCACTGGGGCCACGTACCCCACCAGGGTGAGGCTCGCTATTTTAAAATACAAGTAAAGGGGGCTGATCTGAAGGTCATTCTTAAGGTCTTGCAAATGCGCAAAATTGTGAAGTTATGGAACCAAGCTGATCAGCTTCTCAGAGCTCTTGCTCATCCCCGGTCTCGTTGCCCTGCCGCTGAAACCCCTTCGGACACGGTAACTCGGAAAGTCAGCTCATCTTTCGTCTTCTCCTCTCCCGTTGGCAGGATGACGCCGGAAATCTGCTCGAGACTGAGTTTGGCCTTTGCAAGTACAAGGACCACCAGACTGTGTCCATTCAGGAGATGCCTGAGAACTCGCCCCCAGGGCAGATCCCCCGCTCGATTGACGTGATCGTGGAGGATGACTTGGTGGATCAGTGCAAGCCTGGGGACCGGATCCAGATTATTGGAGCGTACAAGGCGATTCCGGTCAGCGGGAAGGGCAACATGAGCGGGGTGTTCAGGTGGGCAGGGTTTGGCTTGTGTTTTACGGTTGGAAGTTCGGTTGTGCAGGGTTTGGCTTGTGTGTTTCAAGGTTGAATTTCGGTCATGTTTGATGCAGGTGAGAGATCGCAATGGGCGGGGTTTTGCAATGCTCTACTTTCAGTTTCAAATCATGTACATCTTCTCATGATCAAAATTGTATGTATCTGGACTGCAAAGCTTTTTCTTCTCATCATCCGCATCGAGCTCCTCTTACTTGTTGATTTCTCTAGCTCCAAAGGCTTTTATTGAGCTCAGCATATTGTTGCGTTCACTTTTAAACACGTGCACATTACGCCTTCTTTTGTTTGATGACTCGAAAGTACACCGCTTCGGGCGCTCATCAGCGTCCACTCGGACGCCCGCAGAATGGTGACGGATATGGCAATCTGATGCACACCGGGTACTCGTTGAGCACAAGCGGTTGTGCCCCTTTGACACTAGTGAAGGTGTTCATTTGCCGTTAAGCTCTGCTCTGCACGGTTTTTGACAAAATAGTGGCGACTGGCGGCAACAATCAGGCACACCTTGTGCGCACGGTGATCATGAGCGGCCAGCTTTGTCGGCGCATGTGAAAAGTTGCTCTCAAGCTACTGGTTGCGTTTTTGCAGGACGGTAGTGATTGGCAACAATCTGGTGCACCTCCGGCGCGCGATGACCATGGCGGAGACGACCAAGGAGGACCGGGACGACTTCAAAAAGCTCGTAACGCGGCCGGATCTGTTTCAGGTAATTGGCTTGTTATCAAACAAAAACCAAGAGGTTGAGCACTTCTGATAATGTTTCAACGCTCGGATTGACGCAATGGTGCTGCCTGTCCGTCGAAGTTGACTTTTGCTGTACATCGCCTCAATTCTGTCCAAGTCTCCTGTTTTGCATTCTGATGCTGTAAACCTAGGTGTGACGTGACCTAGCTGACGAGTCTCTCTCAGTTGGAACCTCTGAGTCCACAGATCTACTAAAGTGTTCCTCAAGGGCATCGCCAATGTTCTCCCTTACCTAACTGACTGGAGGCACTTACCGTTGTTCAACGTGATGATTCCAAATGATCTCATTTTGATTCAGTTTCCGACAATCCGACTCGGAAAGCGGATCTATGTATGCTGATTCCGACAACATTCTACCTGGAATGGTCCACGAAAGCCCCAAAACGGCCAGAGTCAGCCTGAAAGTTCTCTTTCAAGTGGAAACCTTCCAAGTTCCCACTTTCCGAACAGGAAATCCAACTTTTTGACTTTCCGAATGCAGATAATCTGTATAAAATCATTTCCTCAGACTACCGTCCTCGACTGAATGAACCAAAACTTTGCTGTAACAGCTGCTGGGCGAGTCACTGGCGCCGTCCATCTGCGGCCACGACTGGATCAAGAAAGCGGCCGTATTGTTGCTCGTGGGGGGCATGGAAAAAAACCTCGACAACGGGGCGCACATCAGGGGGTGGGTTTCGTAACCGAGAGTTCGATTTCTACCTGAGGATTTGATTTGTAGCTGCGGGTTTAGGGTGAAGAGGCGGCTTCTTCTGGAAGGGTTGGGAAGAGAACGGGCCTTCCAAGGAGTTGGAAGGGCAACCGCTTTTTGTCGGAACTTAAGTTAGAGTCTCAAAAAGTAGCGAGATGAGCTTTCGAAGGCAAATACCCGATGAGTTGGTTGACTTGATAGGCAGGCCCTATGCGAAATCAGAATTCAGACTGTCCCTTCAACTGCTTTCAAACACTCGACGCCTTGATGGACCTTGCAAAGGTGCTCGAGAAGTTCTGACGTGCTCTGCTGACGTTTGCAGTGACATCAACATGATGATGGTGGGGGATCCCTCCGTCGCCAAGTCGCAGCTGCTGCGCGCCATCATGAACATCGCGCCGCTCGCCATTTCGACCACGGGACGCGGCTCCTCGGGCGTCGGTCTCACGGCCGCCGTAACCACAGACTCAGAAACCGGTGAGCGAATCATCGAACGATTGGGCTCCTTGAAAGTCGGAACGGTCGAGCAAGGGTGCACGCATTGGCACATTGTTCCTCGACTCGTCCGAGCAGTGCTCACATTGTAAGGATGCAAATCTAAGGGTTTTTGTCCGCGCTACAGGAAAGAATCCTGATCATCCTCACTTTGTATTCTTAAAAGTAACCGTTTTACGACGAGTCTCCTCTTTCGTTCTGCACTGGCGACTTGAAGCCGGTGCAATTTGGTCCGGCCGACCGTGGCAGTGCGGCTCTCTTGTCATCATCATGTCCCATACTCTTAAACCCATACTCTCAAGGTCGACAACAATACTTCGGTTTTTCCCAGGCGAACGACGCCTCGAGGCGGGAGCCATGGTGTTGGCGGACCGCGGCATCGTGTGCATCGACGAGTTCGACAAGATGAACGAGATCGACCGCGTGGCGATCCACGAAGTCATGGAGCAGCAGACGGTGACCATCGCCAAGGCGGGCATCCACACCTCGCTGAATGCGCGGTGCTCCGTGGTTGCCGCCGCAAACCCCATCTACGGAACGGTGAGACATTCTCCAAATTTCTTTACCTTTTCCCTCGAAAGTCAATGATTGGCATTGCAGTTTGCGAGGAAACTCTTTTTTAGTTGGATCGTTTGTTCAGGCGGCGGCTAAGTAACTGCATTGTCCGGGACATCCACCTCGGAGGGCACAAAATTTACTCCCAGCTTCCAACCATAAACGGGGCCGCTGTCAAAGCCCCTAAGGAGCCTGGCAAGAGCGCCTGGAATGGCAGACCCTCCAAGATACCACGACTCGCACTCCTTCTTTTCGCGCGCTGTAAGAACCCTGTTTTGGGCTGCCCGGCTCGTGGCTCTTCTGGTTAGACGAGCTGGCCTGGGGGCCAGAAAACAGACCGTTGCCTTTTCGCGTGCTAGTGCAAATGTCACAACCCTTTTCTTTCCTGCCACCGCAGTACGACCATAACCTGAGCCCGACCAAGAACACCGGGCCATCAGTAATCTTTGTCTCGAGAGTGTTGCCCCAACATTGACCCTCGTTTTTCTTTCGCTTCCAGTACGACCACAACCTGAGTCCGACCAAGAACATCGGGCTGCCCGACTCGCTGCTCTCGCGTTTCGACCTGCTGTTCATCGTGCTGGACACAATGGACCCCGCCATCGACCGCCGCATCAGCGACCACGTGCTGCGCATGCACCGCTACAAGAACCCCACCGACGACGGAGGTGGGCACTTTACACTTTCTGCAACTTTGTCCCGGGTTG